GGAATCTCGAGAGGGTCCAGAGGAGGGCCACTCGCATGATTAGTGGCCTTCGTGATAGACCCTATGGGGGGAGGTTGAGAGAGCTGAATCTCTTCAGCCTTCACAAGAGACGGCTGAGGGGAGATCTTGTGGTCGCCTATAAATTTATTAGGGGAGGTCAATGGGGAATAGGGGAAACACTGTTTACTAAGGCGCCCCAGGGAGTGACTAGGAATAATGGGTGTAAACTAGTTGAGAGTGGATTTAGGTTAGATATTAGGAAGAAATTTTTCATAGTAAGGGTGTCCAGGATCTGGAATGGGCTTCCAAGATAGGTGGTGCTATCACCTAGTTTGGAGGGCTTCAAGAGGAGGCTAGATAGTCACCTGGCTGGGGTCATCTGACCTCGGTCCTCTTTCCTGCCAGGGGCTGGGGGTCAGACACGATGATCCATTGTGGTCCCTTCCAACTCTACAATCTATGAATCTTCTCCCCAACACTCCAAAAACTTCCTGGATTGCCTGTGCACTGCTGTGTTGCTCTCCCAGGAGATGTCAGGGTGATTTAAGTCCCCCATGAGAACCAGGGCCTATGATAGGGAAACTTCTGCTAGCTGTTTGAAGAAAGCCTTGTCCACCTCATCCTCCTGGTCTGGTGGTCTATAGTAGACACCAACCACGATGCCCCCCTTGTTGCTCTCCCCTCTGACCCTAACCCAGAGACTTTTGACAGGCCTGCCTCCAGTTTCATACTGGATCTCTGAACAATCATACAGCTCTTTTACATAAAGAGCATCTCCTCCTCCTCTTCTCCCTGCCTGCCCTTCCTGAACAGTTTACACCCATCCATGACAATGCTCCAGTCATGCAAGCTATCCCACCAAGTCTCTGTTATTCCAATCATGTAATAATTTAGTAATTGTGCAAGGACATCCAATTCTTCCTGCTTGCTTCCCAGGCTCTGTGCATTTGTATACAGACATCTGAGATAATTAGCTGATTGCCCTACTTTCTCAGGAAGAATGAGAAGGCCTCCACTGTTGCCCCTTCCTGCTTGCTCTTCCTCCAGGTTACCCACTTCCCAATTTATCCCAAGCTAGTTTAAAGCCATCCTCACTAAGCTAGTAAGCCTGTCTGGGAAGATGCTCTTCCCTGGCTTCGTCAGGTGGATCCCATCTCTTCCTAGCAATCCTTCTTAGAACAACATCTTGTGGTCAAAGAAGCCAAAGCTTTGCCAGCAACACCATCTGTGCAGCCACACATTGATCTGAAGGATGTGTCCGCTCCTGCCCAGGCCCTTCCCCTTGACTGGAAGGATTGAGGAGAATACCACCTGAGACCCCATCCCCTTCCCCCTTGCACCCAGAGCCCTGTAGTCACTTTTGATCTATTCGGGGTCTCCCCTGGCAGTATCATTGGTTCACACATGGATAAGCAGCATGGGGCAATAGTTAGAAGGCCAGATGAGTCACAGTAATCCTTCCATAACATTTTGGATCTGGGCTCCAGGCAAGCAGCAGACTTCCTAAGACAACAGGTCAGGCCAGCAGATGGATACCTCTATCTGCCCCTCAGAAGAAAATCTCTAACTACCATCACCCATCACATCTTTGTGGTGGCAGTGGTTTTGATTCTTCCAAACTTGGGGATGTATGGCCTGGCCTCCTGCACCAACAGAACATAATCCTCTTTGTCTGTTCCTAGGGCTCCATATCTGTTCTCCAGGCAAACTGCTGCAGGTGGAGATAAAGATTTGTGCTCGGGGCCAGAAGTCACAAGCTTCCAGCTTCCTGGGAGTCCATGACCTCTTCTTTGTCTAGCACTGCCTTTGGCAGTCCTTCCTCCACAATCCAAGAGGTCTTCTCCAGCACTGAATAGATGAAGTCCTCATGGTGGAGGGTGCTTCAGAGCCTTGCACCTCCTCCTGTTGCTCTCTTGCCTGCTCTCTGAGGGACGCAACCAGGTTAAAGTTGGCTTGGCTTGGGGTTGAAAGAATCCAAAGCCCTTGCCTTGGCTCTGTACAGGGATGAATTTCACATGCATGAGTTTTGTTTTGTTTTTTCCAAGAAAAAAATTCCATGACTTTAAGAGCAAGGGAACAAGCAACCCAGGGGAGCTGGGCAATCTCCTTCACTGGAGAGTTCCAAGAAGAGGCTGTACAGGCATCTTCCAAGGATGGTTTAGGAAGAACACATCTTGCATCTATGCAGGATTTGAACTAGATGACCCTGCAGAGCCCTTCCAACTCTTCCAGCCCTATGATTCTGATTCTCCAGGACTCTGTTCTGGAGCCTTAATAGGCAGTATTTTCAGGTGGCCTGAGACCTGGCTTTCCCCAATTACAAACAAACTGAGGACAAATTTTGTAACAGGGAAAAAATGAACTCTGAGTGGGTGTTAATCTGATTACATAGGCTTCAACACCTTTGCCCGCTGGTGTCCGTGCACCTGCCCTCCCGCAGCTAGAGGGCACAAATAATTTAACTTTGCACCTGCAGCTGAACCCCTGGCAGAAAAGCACAGCTATAGATTTTGCAGGTGTACCTTGCACCCTCTGGGAAACTCCTGGAGCACAGCCAAAGAAATCGACAAGGGGTGGCCAACTCACCGCTCCATGGGCAGCTGCTGAGTGTGGCACATAAGCCCCAGGCACTCAATAAAGGGAAGCCATGGACTGGAGGCAAAGAGCAGAGTGCTCTGCACAGCCCTGCAGCTGCCAACAAATTCAAAGTTTTGGATCTTCACTCATCGTATAAAACTGCAGGGTCAGGGAAGAGTTAACATGGCTCTTGGCAGTGATATCCCCACAGCAGCAGTTCTGCTTCAGCTCCCCTCTCTGTGGCTGGAGGCTTGAGCCCCCTTGCCCCCCATCTCTAGTCTGATGTCTCTAATTTGTGACCTAACCTACTGCAAGTTAGGGTGGCCCCTGGAATAGACACATGACATCTGAGAAGGGAAAGTGTGTGCAGGCTGCAGTCAAGCCCTCCAGCAGTTTGGATGGATATGGCTTCTCTCAGAGGTCTCCCACCTAATTTCCAGGGAGTCCCATAAACAGGCTTTCCTGTGTGCCTGTTCCTGTTTAGCCCCATAGGCTTCTGCTCAAGGTCTCCACTTCCTTCCTTATCAGTATTCAGAGAAGGCATAGGTTCCCGTCATGCAGATCTATTGGGAAAATCCCCTTTGCAGGCCAGTAGATTATCTTCCTGTCCGGAGTGCTCTCCTGCCTTTTGACTCAGACCTCTATAGCCTTGGACCATGACTAAGACATGGGTATGATTAGAGTGTTGTGTTGGTGTCCTTTTTAAGCAATGTCTGATACCAGCAATGATGAATGACTGAATTGAATGCATTTTCCATTCATCTCCACAGATTTCATGAATGCCTATGATACTTTGAAACCCAGAAAGCATCAGGATGAGTTTGACACTGATGATAGAAAGGAAAAGAGCAGGAGAAGGACTCGTTTCTCCCAGGACATCTATTCCTTACCAAAAGCTAATGGTCGGGAATCACTCAAGTCTTCTGACCAAAAATCAAGTGTCCAATCCTTCCAGGATAAGCGCCTGAGTAGATTTGATTTTGAAGGCAGTCCGGAGAAATCTTGGCAAGCCTCCAAAAGGCATTCCGCACACAAGAAGTCTTTGGTGAGGACTACAACTACAGAAGAGCTAGAGGACATGGAGCCCCCTTCAGCCTATGAAGGGGACAGGGTACCACAGCAATCCACTACAGCCCAGGGTAAGCAAGATGGCTACAAGCCATGATATAGAACAGGATTGCATTCATACATGCACAAGCATGTCCTGTGCATAGCCAGCATCTGCTCACAGGCCTAAATGCAAAATGGAGACTACTTATTTGGAAACACTCTCCTGTAGTGTATGATCCCTGAAGAAGTCAACTGCCTGGCCTGGAAGAAAGCAGTGCTTAGGGGTGAGGCGATGGAGCTAGAGACAGGCTCCCATATACCATCCTAGATCCTCAGCAGACTTGCTATGTGACCTTGGGCACATTGCCTCCTGTCCATCACAGGAGCATAGTGAACCTCAGTGAGTTAAAACTGTCCAAACCCTCTGGCCCTAGTCTAGCCACACACTTCAGCACATAAGTAGCCCTGTTGAAGGCTGTGAGACAGGGGCAGGCAATTATTTTGGGCAGAGGGCTGCTTACTGAGTTTCAGCAAGCCATCGAGGGCTGCATGACAGGCAGCCCAGGGCAGATAAATATTAATTTTCTAAGTTTTTTAGGGGCCCCGCGGGCCAGACAGAATGGCCTGGCAGGCCGCATCCAGTCCCCTGGGCCACATTTTGCCCACCCCTGCTGTAAGAGTATTTACAGATGCATGCAGGAGCATTGAATTCTAGGCCCAGATCCTGTTACATCAGCTTAGCACCCCAGTGCAATTCTATTCCAACTTGCTTGAGCCCCTAAAAAATATTAAAACTCCTACTTTTGTAACACACTGTCACCTCAGCCTGGAGACTGAGTCAAAGCAGCAAGAAAGAGGAGGGCCCAGCCATCTTTTGTGTTAGCTGTGTTTCTCAGGGACTGGAGCTGCGTGGAATAGAATCACACTTAGGCACCAAAGTGCACAGGTAGAGATAGATCTTGCCTCTGGATGCCAGCAGACTGTCCCATGGCACTCAACAGACTGGAAGCATTTCCACTGCTCTGGCAAAGGGCCTGAATTTTTGCCCATCTGGGTACAAATTTAAATGTTGTGCACAGTGAGACACAAGCATGGGCTGATTAGCAGACAGACAAGGAAGCCTATGAGGAGAAGAAGGCATGTCTCTTGCATCCTCTGCTTGTAGCAAAGCATCCCAGGTTTCTGTCCTGCCAGTCCATCCCTGGGGACTAGTGAAGAAAATACCCACCAGACTTGCTATTCTGTCTTCCTGCCTGTGCTCAGTTGTTCCCTCCCATGCCTGTTCTAGGCTCAAGTGTTGAGGCCTCATCTGTAGTATTACTGAGATCTATTTCTGTTGTGATAGCACTTAGGAGTCTCAGATGCTATGTGCTGTACAAACACAGTGTAAAGAAATGGACCTTGCCCAGGAAGCTTGCTGTCATACTATGCCCCTCAGTCTTTCACCTTTCACTTGGATTCCTGTGCGCACACTTGTTCTTCCCTTTGTGTTGCCTGACTACGTGTGCATGACCACTACCTCCTCCTCTTCCTCCTGGAAGCAGGGGCTTACTTCAGAGTGACAGAGATATAGGGATGAATTCTGTCTGGTGTGATTTGGTCACCTCTAGTTCTAGGCACAGCTGGTAGGGTGCCCAAGGGTTTCTCTGTATAACTGTGCTGCTCTTCATCCTGCAGGATCCAAGGGAGTAAGAGATGTGATGAGGGCCTCAGCTGATGGCCTTAAAGACAGCGATGATGAAGGTAAATGAAGGAAAAAAGAATGAGAAAATGCTTAGGGATGTGCTTAAAAACGTGGGGGGGCTCACTTCTTAATGAGGCCTCAGCTTGGCCTCCATTTTTGCACAGGCAGTTCCATACCTGCCATTCATTTCAGGAATCCTTGGTAGTTAAGTGAGACAGCTAACATATAGGTAGCAGGAAT